GACAGGGGTCGACAGGGCCTGTCACAGGGCCTGTCAAGGCCCTGCACAGACCCTGTGCCGACAAGGCCTGTGCAACGGGTGCGTAGGCCCTGTCATAGGCCTGTGGACAGGGGTGCGCAGACCCTATCACAGGCCTGTGGACAGGGGTGCATAGGGCCTGTCATAGGGTCTGTGGTAGCCTATGCCTCGGGGGTTCTTTACCCAGTACCGCCGCTAAGACGACAGCCATGACCACGGGAACGAGGAACAAAGACGACCCCACTACCACTACACTTCGAGGCTTGAGGTAAAGGCTCCTCGCAGCAAGCACCTGCGCAATTCCAGTGTTAGAAGAAAGCGCCGAGCAAAAATCCCGAAAAAGCTTCGAATGCGAAGTACAATCAATCCCTGAAAAGCCGTATGGAGTTGTAGGAAACCGTGCAAAGCCTGCAGAATTCGAAAATTCGTTTGCCGGCGTTTGGCGGCTCAGGAGTGTCATCAGCTGCGGGGCCAGAGCTCCAAACGAGCGCAGGCAGGTGTGACTGGGATTTGAGTACAGGCGGCTTGAAGTTGAGTTTTGACTCGTCCTTGTGGACCACCGTTTGGGCTTGGTGTTTGCACCTTTCAGATTCGGCTGGCGAAGAAGCGCTCCAAGGTGTATGTGGGTTCCGAGTTCAGAACCGAGGGGTTCAGACACGGATGCCCAAAAGCCGAGGCCCGTGTCGTTCCAAGTGAGATGATAGCCTCGAACCCATCTTACGGGGTTCTATTTGGACCGCCACTTATCCAATCATGTGGGACGGCGTGGTACCGAGTCTTTCTGAAAGCAACATGTGGCTTCTGTAGACAAGAGCGAAACAGGCATTGCAGAAAGAGTGCCTCGAAAGTACAGATCCTTGTTGCGCAGATCTCGGAAAACAGGATCGGCTGCTGTGGATCTGGGTAGCTAAATCTTCAAGGATGAACACAGTAGACGTGGCGCAGATGAGAGTCTAGGAGTATGAAAGGACAAGTCTTGATGCCACTGAGTTGACATCGGAGGCGGTGGTGCCTCTAGCCCGGAGAGCGAAGCATGCTCTCCTGCTGTGCCTGGGCTGATTTACGGCTCATCCAGCATCCCTGCAATGACAACAAGTCAACCTGAAGTAGCGAGCAAAGAGACTTGAAGACAGGGGGCCATTGTTTTTTGTTGTCGTCCACCTGGTGAGAGGGCAAACATCAGGAGTGGCCCAGGGCAGTGACGCGCAACCCACCAGAGGAGTTAGGCGTACACCGAGGCTCAAACTGCTATCAGGTTCACGAAGTGTCATGTATAGAACAAAGCTCTGAAGTTCGGAATAAGGATTTCAGATCGTAGAGGCGGGCTCTGCCTGCGCTTGTTTACCATTGAAAGGAGTGGAAACCGTGATTCGGAGTTTGCACCTGGAGATATGCTCAGCGTCCTTTACACTGACTTCAACTTCTGCGTGTTTTTTGCTTGCGAAGCTTTTGCTTGCCAGCTTTTCTTGTCAGTTGGTTGCGAAGCCTCTAGCTACTCATGATGCTGAGATGATGACTAGCGGAAGGACCAGGACAAGGATGGAGGTTCATGATTGTGATGATAATGATGCTGCTGTTGACATTGATGCTGGTGGTGGTGCTATAGCTGCTACTGCTGCAGGCGGCGCTGGTGGCGTGGGGATGATACAGACTATGTTGGTCGTCATGATGTGGGCGTTTGTTGTGATCATGGTGATGGCAATGGAGACAGTTAAGCTTCTTTATTGAGCGTGTTTGCTTGCTCCGTCCAGCTGTTGTATCGTAATTGTCCAATTGTCTGAGTCTGAGAGAGTGCTCGTATTCGTCTAGATTATCAGGACAGGTACTCCGCTCGTCGCACGCGCAGAGGAGAGCTCATCGGCTGGCCTGCAACGTTTCATTATCGGTCACAGAAAGTTAGGGTGGATTTGACAACCCGAGCATGTCGAAGATGATGCACTGCGTCATACATGGGTTTAGCTACAACACAAGTTGTTGCGGTAGCATGTTAGAAAGCTAGAGACCCAACTATCAAAGCATAAGCATTGCTTGAACTGAGATGCTTGACCACAGTTTGTCTCTGCAGGCCTGAACCCTAGACCCCGGATTTCCATGTCCAAGCATTTTGAACAGGATGCGTATCCTTTGCTGGAAATTCTTCTGCCCGAGGCGTGCTTGGTGTGTCGAGCAACTAGAGGTCTTGTTTGTGACATCAAGGTTCTTGCCGAAGGACACGAGCATGCACGATTCTCTACACGTCAAGTCGAAATAGTGACAGTAATGCGTGATGACCTACCCTCAACCAAGCTTGGATTTCCTAGTCTCTAATCCGCTTGCTGCTTGTCACGGTCACTAGACCTGCAGGCCTCAACGACAGCCACCTTCAGCTCGAGTTGCTTTTTCCTCGGAACCAAAAGTTCCAAAACCCTTCAGCCGCTCGATAGCTGGTTTAGTTTGACTGCGATTCCGGCGCGCCTGCTGGACGGAACCCATACCCGCAGCGTGCAATGCAAGGCCCTGAAAGAGTTCAATCCCGAAGAAGCCCCGAACATCGACTCTGTCTCCAAGCGTTTGAACCTCCACAGCTTGAGTCCGAAGCCTTAAGCGTCCGAAGGCTGCACTTTAGAGCGTTCTCAGGGGGAGCTCCCCTCGGTGAACGACTTCGCTGCCCGGTATGGCCGCCGCGGTGCACAGCGCCTTCAGGCTCCGTTGCTCGCTGTTGCTCTGTGCTGCTGTGCAGCGGCTACTAGCGGCTTCTAGTTCCGGGACTTGAGGTTAGTAATTTTCAGGCTTAGGACTTTGAAGACTGGCGGGCATGGCTTGGGGGGAGTGAGGTGATAAATGCGCCTGCTTGGACGGTGCTTTCGCATGTGTTTGGGAAATCTTGACGTGTAAAAGGATGTGTTAAGTGTCTTACTTGGAGGTTTTCGCAACATGCCACCGTGCTTCGATGTTCCCGAAAAATGTATCGAAGACTTTTCGTGTTGACGGCTGCGGATCTGGGGTTGGACAAGGCTCCGTTCCAGAAATGCATACGGCTTTTCTCCCTCTAAGGGATGTCCGACGTTTTCGTGCCCTCATGTCAAAGTCAAAGTAGCATCTGGCACAGTAGGGCGCTCCCCGAAATCCTCTTCACTGAGCATATATCAGCGAATGTACTCGTATGTAACAGACGAATCTGGGTAGCGAAATTACGAGTGACAGGGCCTTACGTCAAGTGGCCGTCTGTCGTGTGCTTACCTGCCCGAGCCAGAAACGAGTGTTCTTTCCCGCCCTGTTCTAACATCTCAACGCCCACCTCTAAAGAGTTTGGCCTCGAATCAGGAGCTTCACGCCCTTCTAGGGTCAGTTATGCTTCGTCGCACCAAGGCCCTGCACTCAGAGCGTCGACTCTTGTAATCGCGCATTGTGTAAGTGCTAAGGGGGAGTGTTGCGGTGCAACGGGCACTTTGTTGCAGAGTGAACGGTGGGGCTACGAGATAGCGGGGGCATTCATCTTTTCCATTGGTATGACCGCAGCTTGGTGTCTCGGAGCTAGCAGCCGACAGTCAGTCGGCCGGCACCGCCAAGCCAGCATCAATGCCGCATATTTGTTTGGAGTGTCCGGATGTGCCTTTCAGCAACCACGTAGCCCTTGGAAAAGAAAGCAATGAATGTGAGCATGCAGCCCGGGTTTACCTCTTCTAATTCTAGAACCATCCTAATTAGATTACGAACACGAAGTTTTCGCCCCAGTTTACGCCCAACATCATTTTTCAATGTCAAAAATGGGCAAGGACCGAAAAAAGGTTCTTGCAGTGATTGTCCGAATCTGTGCATCACAAAGGTGGAGATGCTCCCTCAGCTGCCGAAGAAACGTCGGCGGAGAGTGCTTCTGGACCTTCGGGTGATCACAGTCATGCACAGAATGTCTTTCTGCAATTCAAGCTCGCAAGAACAGGCATTGTGTGCCTTTTTGTGCGCTTGGCTTCAGCAGTAGAAAACCGGATGTTGTGTGGTTGTTCAAAAATGGGCTTTGGACATTTCATTGTAGCGACCTGAGGGCTTGGAGGTTGAGGTTGGGAGGTTGTGGTGCCGCAGAACTCTAGAACTCAACAACCATCACTATAGTCGTGATAATGACCGTAGCTTCATTTCAACTGTGAAGGGCAAGAGCTGGCAAGACACCTTGATTTGCGGCTTTCGGGCTTCGCAGGACTTTGTCGGAGACTGGTTGCTTGTGCTGCAGACTCTCACGCTCGGCAGGACCTTGGGCCTTCTGCTCCCTCTGCAAGTCCAGCTGCTCGCGAGGAGCCTGCATGCAGTCGCAAAGTAGGAACGCCATAACCAAGCAGGAAGACAAAGGAGCTGCTGAGACTGGTCGAGACGGGAGCCCAATGGGAGCTCGGGTTGAAAGCACTCCCGAATGAACTCTCCCCTCTCAAAGTCCAACAGTTGTAATTGTTTGTCGCTCTTAGTCTGGACAACCCTACGCCGTAGTCTCTATGATAAAGCAGACCTAAGAAGACCTACCAACATGATTTCGACTAGGTCGCGCCAGACTCGACCTTTCATGACTTTCGCTGTTTGTTTCTATATAGATCTGATGCCGCCGGGGGTACACCAATGTGTCTTTGTGGGATTAGCAACCTTTGCAAAGGTTGATTTAGGAGCCTAAGTTGGCAAGTCCTGGTCACAGGAGTTTCGGAGGGCCTCGTTTCTTGGCGAAGGATTTGGTCAGCTGCTCACGCATGAACTGAAATCACGTAATGTGGTGTTCAATGGTTCAATAGACCATGTGGTTTTGTTGCGTGCAGTGCAGGAGCCTGTGGAGGAGGCTTGCGAGAGGCCTTGCTGCAGCTTGTAAATCCTCCATACTTAAAGTTACTTAAGTTGTTGTTCCAAGATTTCAAACTATTTTTTGTGGGTTTCTAGGGCTGATTTTTCTTAACTGCTGGTTTAGTTTGTGGGACAACCCGGTGCGTGGGGCCTGCATTGAAGGCTTCGAGGCGTAGCAGAGAGCGGCTTCGTCGGTGATTGTGTCAAGGGTGCTGGGTTCACAGACCGCCAATCTTGGCTTAGGATGTTGTCAGAAGTTGCTCCGTGTAAAATTGGGGTTGGGTGTCGGGATGTTTTTGCTTTCGGGAGGCATTCGAGTTGCAAGTTGCAAGCATAGTTTCGTCCAAGAGCTGCTGACGTTGTGCATGCGTGACCATCGAACCGTGAGCCATTGAACCTGCCTGGATTCGCGGCATAGCATACTTCTCGTGAACCTACAGATCTGGCGCTTATGTCCCACATCTTTCCCTGACAACACATCGGCTGCAGATTGGCGAAAGCGAAGAAAGCTGCGGTGGCAGAATATCTGTCCTGCTTGCTGGCTGCTAACGTGCGATGCCCGGAACGTCCCTCCTTCAGCCTGTGCCGGTGTTTCAAGGGACTTGGGAGGCAAAGCAAGTCCCGCAAAGATGTCATCTGTATGACCCTTCGATGGCACCAAGTTCAACACGGGCTTGGTGGGCCAATACCTAGAGGCTGGAGGATGTTCGCCTAATGGCTGATGTGTGCTTTGGGCCGCTTAATGTTCAGGTGCAGGGCTTAGTGCTTTTACGGCCTCGTTATGTACATCATCGCATTCGGAGTTGGGAGCATCCACATCCACCTAGACGCTGAGTTGCTAATGTTGTTTTGCACGTTGCGCCGTTTTTAAATCCCCCGATGAACCTCTGACCTCCCGGTTCACCGGATGCCTGGTTCATCTGCCAATCCCGCCGGTTTTACACCACCGCAACATTTCGGTGGCAACAACTCGGTGGCGACATCTGGGTGGCAATATTTGGCGCGGCTTCGGTGGCAACAATTCGGTGGCAACATTTGGCAGGGCTACCGCTGGCAGCAAGGCCTGCGTCGTCGTCGCGTCGTCTTTGCCCCGCGTCGTCTCGTTTCGCGGCGCAGTCTTCGAAAAACCACCACTTCAGTGAGATGAGCAGTCAAGCTCAAGATGTCACTGCAGTCAGATTTTTTCAGGCAACAGCTAGAAGCTCGAGCTGTTAAGGTCGCACCGGGCTGACTGCAACAGCCACATTTTGCTCGACCCTATGACACTATGAGAGCAATGCGATACCTCCGTTTCTTGGACTTACATTTGCAAAACGAGCATTCCACTAACAGAAACCTTTAGGTCACCCGATGTCATCCGATGTATCCGATGCCCATGGAAACATGCAATCCCAGCAGGGGATGCTGCGTCGAAGGGTACGCTAGCTTCGGTGCGGCTCCAACTGGGCACAGTCCGAACCCTATGCCAAAAGCCTCAAAAACCAAGCACATGTCATCAAAGGCCGACGGCTTGACTCCCTAAAGCCTTACATGTCTTGCAGACGTTTCATCCTCGCGTTCTCGAATCTTGCAGCCCAGGTCCGGTTCCTCGTCTTCGCCCACCACTTGGCCATGCTCGATGCCCTGGAGAAGTCGTTGCGGGAGCAGTCCGTCCGGTGCCTGTGCATAGTAATAGTCGTCGTCATCAATACAACAGCTGCAAGTACTGGGGAGCACAAACAGCAAAAACAATTCGGGCACTCGCACGAACTTGGGCTGATTGACTTCATTTCCACAGGGGTTGTAAGTTGAGGCGGGTATGCATAGGTAACATTTAGCCTGGATGCACCGCCAATTGTGGTAGTAGACTAAATGCGGGACAATTGTTGCGAATTGAAACTACAGCTGTGTTAGAAGAAGCTACACGTGAGTGTAAGTGGAGACTTTGCAGACACCCTGCTCACGTCCGGAAGCCGTTAGTCAAAAGCCAAAGTTTTGAACCCAGCTTAAACTCCATGTCCTGCAGATCCTCATTCCGACAACAAACAGCCGGACGAACCCGCTTAGGTTTGAAGCTCAGAATCCCCAGTTTCGCATTTCGGGCTACTCGTAAGGGACGGAACCCTCACCTTTGACCCAAGACTTGCAGTCATGAGCCCAATGCTGTTGCACCCGGCTGCGGCTAGGTACTTCCGCATCGACGGCAGCACCGTGATGACAGAGAGATCAAAGTGCCCTCGTTAGCTTCTAGCTTTTTGGAGCATCGGGAGTTGCGAGCTTGGTTTTGATTGGAGGAGGATTTGGCCATAAGAGTGCAGCGCAGAGTTGCATTCCCGTTCTCCAGGCTACGCCTAACGTTAGTCGTACAGAGTGAATCAGCGGGAAGGGAGTTCCGTGATCAGCCTGCGGAAACATCCCAGAAACTAAAGCATGCCAAAACCGTGTCCTCCCAAAATGTGAGCTAAGCAGCCGTGATCCCTAATGCTGAGACCTTTCTCTGGAATTATGGAAACTCTCCTGGCAGATTCTGAGCTCGAATCGAGACGGGTTGCTTGAAAATTGGGATTACTCTCGAAACCTCAAGCCGCATTGCTCTTACTGCAAGGATCCTTGCATGACAGCCACGAAGCGGATCCAGCTCTTCGTTTGTGAGCGATGGTCTGGTCGCAGGGTTTGTGGGATGAGGTTCACGATGTGCCATCTCCGGATGGCCAGTTGGGAACCCCGCCCGGAGGTACATCGATTCGTTTCAGACCACCGACTACTTTCAGGCCACTAGATGCCAGATGCAAGTGTCGATGGGCCTTCTGCCAGTTATCAAGAGTTCGATTCAGCGCCTAGTGACTTTGTAGAGCTGGAACCTGTGGGGCGATGTCCTTCGTATGGTTTGCGATTACCTAATCACTACGGTTACACACAACCACTACTACGGCTACTTCCACTATACTACTTCAATCTTGACTTGTACTTCTACCGCACTCCGACTACTGCGACAACACCTGAACGCAAGGCATCAACAGCTAGCGTCCAATAGCCGCTCCTTTTGTAAAGGAACCCTGTCTGGCTGCTTGGCAGCCACCGAGCGTGGGGTCTGAAATGGGTCAGAAAACAACCATTATGCGGGTTTTTCTGGCCGCCGAGAACACCGGAACAGGGGAAGCTCACCAAAGTCTCGAAAAAGGATAGGGCAAAGAGATTTACGGGCATCTTGCAAAGGCTTCTGGGGGTTTTGGGCCTTGCTTAAGCTCTGCGCCCTCCGGTAGTGGGAGGTTCAGGCCGGCAAGAAAGCAGGGCTCTGGAACGTGTCGGGCCCTTCAGTCTGTCAGGCAAGCGGGCAGCTGTACTGGGGGAAACCCACGAAGTCAGCAAGGCGAGGCCAAAGTCCGGAATAAACTGGGTTTCGTCGTCCGCCACGCGCAGCAACCAAGCCGAATGAGATCCCCATAAAAGGATGGGGGCAGAAGAGAACGGGGCCAGAACTCAAGTGTCCGTGGAATGCGCCAGCTTGCCACGCAGACGCCCTTTTTGGTGGTACCGCCAAGACCATGCCAAAGGCCTCAATGCTGGGCTTGTTTCCACTTCCAGCCATGCTACAGTGGTCTCGGTACGCCATCCCTTAGGCAAAACAAACCGGGGAGGCTTCACCTCGCCGATTCCCGCACGTTTGGAAAGGGTTCCTCGGCCAAGCCATTCGGGGCCTGTCGCTCGACGGAAGCGATCCCTGACTAAGTTTGGGGAGGCCAACGTTTCATTGTGAACTCCCAGGCATCGCAATCTTGAGGTTTGGATCCTCCGGGTGTCACAGGCATGATGCCATACAAAGATAAAGACATACTGAGGGCACCGAGATACCCTTAGAGACAAGCAACAACAACTAGGCAAGACCTAATTAACATAAATCTGCATGTACAAACCAAGCAAAATTGGGCAACAATCCTAAAGTATCTCAAGCGAACAAGTGTAAAGACTAGTACGAGCAGATGAAGACAGAACAAGTTCAAGTATACAAGTAAACATTTCGAAAGCTCAGTACAGAATAAGACAGATGAAGAAAGATTAAGGCAGTCAATGCCAAGAAAGGTAGTTTCAAGAGTTCGATTCAGTCGCTGGTGAGTTCGTAGAGCTGAAACCTGCGGGGCGATGGCCTTCATGTGGTCTGCGACCACCTACTACGATTACATTCCATCACTACTGCTGCTGCTCCCGCTCCCGCTCGCCCTACCACTACCACTACCACTACCACTACGACTACTACTTCTACTACTGCTGCTGCTGCTGCTACTACTGCTACTACGACGACGACGACGACTACTACTACTACTACTTCTTCTTCTACTTCTACTTCTACTTCTACTTCTACTTCGTCTTCTCCTTCTGCTTCTACTTCTACTTCTACTGTTGCTGCTGCTGCTGCTGCTGCTGCTGCTGCTGTTGTACCTTTCCTGCTACTGCACTGCTACTACTGCTGCAACGCGTGAACGCAAAGCATCAACAGCTGACGTCCAGTTGTGGAGGTGGCGCTGCTGTCCCTCACAGCATGCTCGCAAGGCTTCACGCGACCAGAGTGCAGCCAGGGGTTGCAGGCTTCAACTGCATATGGTTCCTCAAGGGTTTGGGAACCCAGGCTGTGAGATCCGGGAGCCTAGACAAGCGACTTCATGCACGAAGGATTGAGCTAAGATCTTCGATTGGATTTGAAGAAGCTTAGTTCGGTGCTTGACGTTGTCGGGTTCATGACTTCAATTTCGGGACACAAGTTTCAAGCCGATGGTTTTGGATCGTGGATGATTCTGGAGTTCCATGCAGCCATCAAAGCTTGCACTTAACCCGAATTCCAAGAGGATTACGGCCGGAGCCCCAAAGTGTGTTTCGCTAACTCGTCACGCTTGTGAGCGAGGGGGCCCTAAAAATCAAATCCTCCATCCAAATGAGGCTCAGTGCTGCCTCCCTCGTTGTTTTTGCGGAGCGCCCCAGGGATTGGGCTATCGGGCTGTCTGGCCGTGAGGAGGATTCAGCAGCACTTTGGAGAACCCATACCGGGTGATGGACAGGCATTAGAGGACGTACTGTGAGAGCTTGGGCTTCGGAGCACGCCAATGTTTGCAGGGAGGACGCAGATACGAGTCCCCTATGCTAACTTGAACACAAGGGTTTGCAAGGCCCAGAACCAAAAAGCACATCAATGCTTGCTGGGGCTCACAGCAATTCGAGTTTCTCAGGATTCGCTGCCTCTCGTTTGTTTGAAAGTGGTGTTTCTGTATTTGGAGCCCTTGATCTGTAAGGATGCAGCCTACTGCTGTACGTTCGACTGAGTGCCGGCTGTCATGCTGGGGAAGCAGGGTTGCGGAAGTTCCTTGCTCTTCTGTGCCGCTGGCGGCTGCAGCAATCGGAAATGCCTTTCTTGTGCCCCACACCGCATGGCTACGGACCCCCGAAAGCAGGCCAACGCAGCGCAGTCATCGAATCCAAGCACCGCCTAAGAGTACAACTGTACAGTTCGCCACTTCTTTGGAAAGCCAATACAGACGATCATCATGCAACTTAATCCAGCAACATGCTCAAAGTCAGGTCTCCTGCCTCGAGCTCCCAACCCAAGCTTGTTTCGGGCTCCGTTTCCGTAGCGCGCAACCTTCGCCAGGAGCTCTTTTGGGTTCCTGGGACACTCCTCCAAGCAGAGGCTCGCCGAACTGACGCACCCAGGCCTAGCTTGTTGGGTGATCGTAAGATGTCCACCACTGGAGTGTGCTATGCTGCATGGTAAGAAGTTCAGGATCAGCAGGCTTCTCCTGGACAATGGCATCAGGTGCTAAACTACGGCTTGCGTAGGGCATTGACCAGGAATGTTCGCGCTTCGGATCTCCAAGTGTTCATCTGCCCAAAACTCTTGTGAAAAAATGAGATTCCAGACAAAAACACAGGATGCTCCTCAATCCACTTCCTGGCGAATCCCGACCCCACGCCATGGGTGGCCTCTAAATATCGGGTGTTCGGGGGTTTCGAGAGGCTACAGCATGTTATGGGTAGGAATACTAGATGAAAGCCTTGACCATCCTTGACTCATGTCCGGACGAGTTGCACAGCTGCTAAAGCTGCTACGGATTTTCATGTATGAAGACTAGCTTCCATAGATCCTTGGAGAGAGTCTTTCCCTTTCAACACCAAACAAGCAAAGCCCTGCAACCGAGAGAGCCTCAGACCCCCAACCTGCAATATCCTCGACCTCTCCAGGATCGAGCCCATCGCCTTGGCCAGGCCTGCTTGTTGATTTACTTTCAGGCCACGGCCTAGTCGTCTTGATCATGGCCTTCGGCTTCAGCTCGAGACATCTACCAGTAGTTTTATCGCATTTTGCGGTCAACTCTGCTAAGTGCTAGTCCCGCGAGTTGAAGGTATCGGGTTCGGTCAATCCGGGTGTTGCACTGTGCTTCACCTTTTACAACGTCTAGCACATTGAATGCGACACTCGCTGCGAGATCGTGTTGCTTCTCACAACTCGGTGCTGCGATGATAAGAGTATGGAATTGGTTTGGATCGTGATACGATTAAGACCCTAGACCCCAGTTTCTTGCTGGGAGACATCTTGCATTTCTTCCTTTGGCCAGCCACCCTGCCCTAAGACCCCCCAACCCCACACGTGCTACCTGCATAGACTTCACCTCGTCGTGTATTTGTCGTCCTTGTCTCGCATCCGGCGCCCTTCGGAGCTGCAAAACGAAGCTTTTGGTATGTGTGAGGAAAGCATGGTGGATGTGCACTACTTAGTGGCTCCTGGAACAGATCCTTGGCTGAACGGAGAGCCTCGACTGTAGAGTACATACGACAGTGCAAGGCTTTCGAGAACAAGACATTGCGTTCTGCTTCTCTCGGGAGGTGTATTTTATCGGCTGATGTCAGTGACATGTCTTGGAGATCTGTTTGTGGATGCAGAACTGACAAATGCTTCTATCACGATGACACAAGAAGTGTTGCTTTGCTCTCAATAGCAATGGTCCGGCGCCCAACCTGAGATAATGAGCCTTCAGCACTTTTAGCCCAAGGTGCGCCGATCAACCCGTGAGGTTTAGGGTTTAGATTCCAAGGTTCAATGTTTGTTGGACGTGTCGCTTGAGCTTCTCCGACCCCACAGAGCATTTCCCCTCAACGCAAAATCGCGACCAAGACACTTGACTGGGAGCCCTACACTTGTTTCTTTGGTTCACAGTGGTGGAGTCCTCTTCGTCTGAAGGGTAAAGCTCGTGCAGAGAATCTCTGGCACCCGTGAAGTCCCTTGAACACATATCCCAAAGCCCTACGCCCTAGTCTTGGAAAGGCCAAGGATCTTGAAAGCTCGAAGCTTGAACATTGAGGCATTGAACATAAAAGTCGCCCAGCGTCTAAGAAGCACTCCACTCTAAGTCTGTGCAGTGGAATGTACCTCGTACAGCTGCAACATAGTGCAAAGTACCGGCATCATGCGTCATCATACCTGACATGCCTAGTTTATTTTCGAAAATGCCAAGGTCGATGAGCGCATGCTGGCTGCCGTAGAGAGACGCGCGCGAGATGCGGATAAAGCTGTCGATGGGGGCACCGCAACCGCACCGCTGGCCAGAGAAGGAGGTCCGGGCCACATGAATAAATCATGACAGAGATTGCTCTCTGGATAGCATCATAGTCTGAGATACCCCTGTGTGTCCTGATGTAATATTTTGCCAATTTGGGTCGTTTAGCCTCCTTTGAGGCGGCTGGGGCCGCTCCGTCCTCCTCGCTTCCTTCCCCTGCTGCTATCGTTCGTTGTCGTCGTAGTATTAATAGTACCGCGCCAGCCCCGAGTTCGTCGCACTCTATGTCATTCACGGTAGGTGTCAGGATGATCAAATTTCGATCATGAAACTCAAGTGTTGACATGTAGTATAGCTGCGACGGCGGTCGTAGCCACTCACTCTGACTATGAAGCCTGGCTGATGTGAGGCATTCTGGAAGCGCCTGTGGTAGAGAAGGCCACCGCTCTGGAGGAGGTGGCATCAGGAGCCACAGGGTGGGTATAGAGGGCTGATGGCTGTGTGACGAAGAAAAACCACATACTTCCCCATGTGTATACACAGAGAGAGATATAGCTAGATATAGAAAAGATAAAGGACGCGTGCTTGCGTTTATAAATGTAAGGATGGAGGGGTGTAAGATTTGAGCGAGAACTTTGATGTCCGATACTGTCGCTATCCCTCTAGACCATCTTTTACTAACAACTGGGTGTGAGAGAGCGAGAGAGAGAGAGAGAGAGAGAGAGCAAATGAGATGCATGTCTGTGTATATATGTAGGTATGTACAAATATCTATGTCTATCTACCTATGCATCTATCTGTCTATTTATCTACCTGCATATGTGTACTTACGTATGTATGTATGTATGTATTTATGTACGCACGTACGTACGTACTACGTACGTACGTACGTATGTATGTATGTATGTATGTATGTATGTATGCTTACAAGTATGTATGTAGGTATGCATGGATGTATGTATGTATGCATGCACGTATATATATATATATCTGTGTGTGTGTGGTGCCCCTCCCCCACCCATGTACCACCCTTGTCTTGGCATACTTGCCTTGACCACGTGGCTTTATTGATGCATTGGCACCCTCCTCGAACAGCCCGAATTGCCATATACGGAGCTCAAGGCATCGGAAAACAGTCAAAAGAATGACAAAAAACATTACTCAGGAACAGGAAAAAGTGTAAAACAAAAACAATAAAAAGCATAAAAGCCATGACTTTCAAACTATCTGGAGACGTGACACCACCCAGACGGGACAGTCCGAAAAATCATGGTTTTGATTTTCCCAGTGTTTCCTGCTTCTGACGCAGCGGAAACATTGGAAATACCAATGAAAGCTGCATACTCAGAGCCTGAAGCATTGGAAACAACAGCAAGAATTGCACACACGGAGCCGGACACGTTGGAAAAAACGATAAGTTCCAGGAGTCAGAAGCGTGCCGCCACTTGGAAGGGATAGTTTGCAAACCCTGGTTTTATTGGTTGTTGCACTGTTTTCGGCTTCTGACTCATAATTTTAATTGACCTCTCCAATGGTTTCTGCTTCTGACTGAGCGGAAACATTCAATAAAACGGCGCACACAGAGTTTGAAACATTGGGAGCCGGTGTCCACAGAGTCTGAAACATTGGAAAGACCCAACAAGAACGGCACATGCGCCACCTCACACAGTGGAAAAACCATACAAGCCATTCTTGCTGTAGGCATACGCATCAGCAGGAATAGTTGGACGAACACAGCCACACACATGGCACACAAAACATACGAAGCACATTCACGTGCACAGAGCAGTAACCGGATGAGACGTGAGGCAAACAGTACAGGAAAACAAATTTAGTAAATTTAGTGGCTGTGGCCAGCGCCTGTGCACATGAAGTTCTGCAGACAGACACCGGTGGTATAAACACGCCAAACAAGTAGGCATATTCCGGGGGGGGGCTGTAGCTGTATGGTGGCTGGCTGCGTGTATTCATGTGTATGTGTATATATATATATATCTATGTATGTGTGTGTGTGTTCTTGTATTCATATTTGTATACACGTGCGCACTGTCGCTTCGTGCATTTAGATGTCAGGGCACGTTGCACCGTGTGTTCGAGTTGTGTTTGCAACGGTCTGATGGGGTTTCCTCTAACCTTCTGATGGTTCCTGAAACTTTGTAGCAGAATGTCCATAAAGGCTGTTTGTCAAGAACGTTTCATTTCCATCTCAGGAGGTGTATGCCAGACCTTGCTCTGACCCAGTAGCATATAGACTCGAACCCCAAAACCACAGGTCAAACCTGCGTGCCGTGCGAAAACCAAGATCCTGAAAGTTTCGAGCTTCAGCCTCAAACCCACCAAAACCCAAACCCAAGTCCGGAATCGTTCAGGAGCCAAGAGGAAGACGGCACCAAAGGAGTCTGATGACGACCTAGTGCTCATCGGCCCACGAAGCTCCGGGCGCCCATTCTCATGGGCCAAAATGAGCATTGGGATTTCAGATCCTGGCCTTCCAATCCTTGAGGCTTCCGGTGCAGGGTTTTAGTTTGGTGTTTTGGGCTTCCTGTTTGGGCCAAAACAGGGATCGGGTTTTTCAGAGTCTGCGGTGTCTTGGTTTTGACAGCATTTTCCCGGTTGAGGACATGCCAAACTAGCATCGCAAACTTGTGGCTTTCAGAGTTAGGGCTACTTGTAGGAGTTTGAGGTATGCAATCTGGCAGGGCTAAGGGTTTGGTGTTGCGCTGTCGTTGCAATTACCTGACTGTTGCTTCGTGACTGTCTGCTGTTGTTGTTGCTGCTTGTAGTCAGGCTCAAGGCTTTGGGGTATTTTTGGGCTTTGGGCAGAACAGGGCTCAGGGATGTGTTTTATTGAGGCGCCCTTCACGGGCTTAATTAGTAGTTGTCACGGTTCTAGGGTTGTCAAAGGTTTGCATCTACAGATGCGGGGTCGTAATGGTTTTCAATGCTTTCGGTTCGGCTTCTCTGCCAAACCCCAGCCTCCAAAATCTCCCTCCCCCATTACCCCACACCCTAAACCTAAACCCTTAGTAACCCTAAAACCCTAAAACTCTGGATTCCTTAAGCCTTTACCCAACTACCACTACTTCTGTTACTACTAGTGTTACTACTACTCTCTACTATCATTGTAACTACAACGTACTGCTAATATATCTTCAGTGTTAAGCCGGTAAATTTAAAGTTTTTGAGGTTTGGGTTTAGGGTTCAGGATTGTTGAGGATTCAGGATTGCGGGTTGAGGGTTCAGGGTTCAGGGTTTAGGGTTTTCGCCCCCGCGAGGGTGTAAGTGAATTGAGTGGGTTCGCCCCCGCGAGGGTTTA